CACCCCCAAACCTGGGCAGCTCCCACTCCCATTCATCCTCCGCCCGGCCTCTGCCTCCCCCGCCCCCAGCCTCACCCTCTCTGCTCCCAACTCCTCATCTCCCGTCCTTCATCCTGTTCCCTCTCAACCCTGGGGAGCTGGCCTTCCTTCCTAGATCCTGCTTCCCCTCGCAGACCCCCATCCCCGCCTGCAGTTGCCGCCCTCTAGGCCCCTCCCCCGAGCGCTGGAGGGCCCCTTCCCCACCCCCATAGATGGGTCTGCCAGTCCCTGGAAGGGGAAGCCGGGGTAAGACGGGCCGTGAAGAGACCCTCCGGGCCTGCGGGGATCTATCTGGGAGGATTCGGTTTCCATGGGAAGGACAGCCCAAGGGACTCCAGACAATTAGGGGGAAGCAGCCTGGGAAGCGGGTGGGGGACACATGGAGGAGCCCATCCTGTGTGTGTAGAGGTGTCAGGCTGGGTCCTAGGGTCCCAGGGGATCCAGGAGTTGCCCAGGTTGACCTGAGAAATAAATACGAAAGGAGGCGTCTCCGAGCAGAGGGCTGGGGGGAGCTAAGGAGTGGAGGTCTTGGGGGAAGGAGGGTCTCAGCCCTGGAAGTTGGGCAGCAAAGTGGATCTTTAGGGATGGGGGGCAAGGATCCCACTGGGTCTGGTTGGGGGAGGAGAAATTGGGTGGCATTGTGTAGGGGGTGGGGGGGAGCAAGGTCTGGCGCTCCCACCTAGGAGCCGGGGTGTCTTGGCGGAAAATCGGGAGGATTTAGGTTGGGAGAGCATGGGTACCGTGCCTGTAGGGGGCGGGAGAAGCTGGAGCCCCCTAATGGGACGCCACAGACAAGGAGCCCTGCTTCCCACGGAGCTTGGAAGTGGGGAGGCTGCTTCCCTTCATCCTCCTCGGCGCTCAGGGAGGCCTGAGGAAGCATTAGAGGAGCCAGGTGGCTGCTCGGGAGAGCTAGGCTGCAGAGAGGGGTCCCTACGCCCTGCAGGAGGGGTGACCTCCATATTCCTTGGCTCCCTGGGTAGGAGGGTGAGTTCTGCCTAGAGATGGAGGGAGCTGTCGCGAGTTTCAGGGCCCCAGTGGGCCCACCTGACCCTGTCGCCATTCACCCACAGCCCTCGGCGTTGCTGACGCCCCCAATGTCGTCGA